ATGTCATACCTTGAAAATTGGATGTTTCGCTTAAGACTCATTAAGGATTTAAGCTCTTATGATAAATACCAAGCCAACTATTTGCGAAGTATTGTAAGTATCTAGCAAAACTGGTTTTCTTCAGTACGAGATCAACTCCAGCAGCCAGAACAATGAAATAGTCCACAAAATCTAGTATTTCGAATATGAAATACTGATGAACTACCCTGTAAAAACTGGTCTTATCAGAGACCAAGCATACAGACAGACAGGCAGTGCAACTAAAGTTGATGCCACAAGCACTTCTGTCTACAGCCGATTGCATCTGTCGTCCACACGAATTAACGGTACGTTTGTAATATGCGTGCATCACTGATATCGAGAAGAAAATAAAGAAAAATATTGTATATACAATAACATGGCGGCACATCCGGTAAAGACAACGGATATGAATATCCCTTGAAGCTATCAGACAGTGCAAATGAGCGTATAGTTATTGAGATGAAAATTGCAAAATGAACAGAGCAACGCGAAGCCAACTACAATAACATAGCCGGGAACAAAGCAAAACGAAAAAAGAGAAAAACAAAAAAACAAACCATAGAGTGAAAAAAAACAGCGAAAAACAAAGACTAGAAATACAAAGTAGGATATGATTGGACAACGTAACGGCACGAAACAAAAGCGTAAAAAAGTTTACAATAACAGCATAATATGTGTATAAAAGTATCGACTCAGTTATTCAGCAAAGACTTTTTACACTCTCCTACGTTTTGGTAGTTGTACAATGTTACGTATACGCCATGCCGTACAAACGGTAAATGGCCGCCGCAAAGCAACAAAAAAGTTACAGCTGTATAAAAAACTCATTCAAATGGCAGTTATTGCACAGTTTTTGTATTCCCTCTTTTATGATGGAAAAAAGAATTTACTGCGTTTCATTTGCGGTCGAAGTTGTTGGGCGTTGATGGGCCCGCGTAGTGATATGGGACATGTACTCAAATGGTAATTATTGTTGTACTTTTTATGTATTTTGAAAAAGCTCGCTTTAAAATTGCAATAATTTATTTTAAAGTAATAGTAATTAAGCAGTTTACTCTGAACTAAAATCAATTTTTATATATCGTTGTATTTCTCATTTCATTTCTCTGAAAAGTTCGGTATTAATAGCCATTATTGCTGATAACGTTATTGGCTTGTGAGCAATCGGCGCGTAAACTGGCCAGACATATACAAAAAATACTAAATCTGAACTCCTGAATAACTCTTATTCGGCGATCCATATTAAAAGGGTGCTGTGCAAGAACACTGATTTTAATAGTGTTTCACCTACAAGAAGAACGGTTATTATGAGAAAATGAAAGTTCTATTCGAGCAAGTGACTTGTTTTCCAAATCTAAAAGTTGGTTAAATATTTATTATGTACATCCGACCTATCCGTCCAAAGTTGTGCATTGAAACTCCCTTCTTCATGTCGGATTGCTGCTAAGGATAGATGGTATAGACTCTGGTAATTAGTACTTCAATTAGAGAGATGATTTTACCCGATTGATTGATGTCGGAAATTCTGGATTTGGAGACTAAGAATTTATCCGATCGTCCTATTTATCACTAGCTTTAAGATCACAACCTCTAAAACTACACTGGGCAAGAAGAGCTAAAAAGAAAAGTGCTAAGATGCAAGAGAGATAAAGAGAGATACAGGGAGGAAAGAGAGGAGACGAAGGGTGAGAGAGATAGATAGAGAGAGAGAGAGAGAGTAATAGTGACAGATGGGCAAGAGAAAGAGAGGAAAGGAAAGGAGAGAAGAAAATACAAATCGAGAAAGAGTGAGGAGCAGAGATGACGGACAGATAGACGAGGGAGTGAGAGACGGATGTAGAGCAACAAGGAAGAATAATTAACAAAGAGAGGGATTAAAAGAAAGAGGTGAAAGAAACAGAGATATAAAAAGAACGAAAGAAACAATTTTAATTTACCATTTCGTTTGATTTGGGTTTTTAACATTGTGAATAAACATTAGACTAGATTTCTGACGTGTGTCAGAGTAAGAAACCCCGGATTCACTCACACTAAATTTATATTTCTTAACACATATTTCAACAGCTTTGGAATTCCTAGAAGTGGTATAAGTATTTCGGTGAAGAATTTAAAAAATTTGCCAAGGCCATGTTGTTTGAGACATGACATGAAACAAAGAAGTATCATGCAAAAGATTTTGAGTAATAAATTAAAGCAATCAAAGCAAGTGGAATACCAGTGATTATTAAATAATGAGCTGCTCCTCAATAGTTTCGTTCAATAAGGTTATTGTTGAAGGCATTCCTGCCTTCCAGTTGCGAAAATTCGATTTGCAATATTACAAATAAAATGGTGAAGCTCGACCTTAATGTAGTGATGTCCACCATAACATCTCCTCTAATGTATAAAATATTCAATCACATAAAAGTTTTTAGTTCCCATTTCAGTTGCACACACACATCTCATGTGGCCATGAACTTTCCGCCAAAGCCACAAGCAAAATTTACGAAACCCTAACTTTATTGCTATTTGTTTACAAATTGAGCAATGAGAAATCGATTTTCAAGACTAACTTCCGGTGATCGCTTTTGTACTGCCTTTTTTTTGAAAATAGTACGGAGACAACTCGGCATAGCTAGCAGACGTCTGCCGACTGCGCGAGTATCCAACATGTCAACGGCCAAACAAATCGCAATAAAAACACAGTTACTTTGTTATAACAACCATAACAAAACCGGAAGATGGAACGGTAGTGTGGCAATATAAAAAAGGTCAGAGAAGATGGACGCTGAGGCAGACAGCGATGAGCATGTAAATGAGAACAGATGACGCATAGCAAAAGCCACGCTTTAGATTAAGCTGAGGCTGTGGATATTTGAAATTCATAAGCTCAAAATGAAAGCCAGAAACTGTGGTAAGCAAATATGAAGTATTGAGAAACCGGCACGCAGACGAAAGTTAACGCGGTCGCATTACGGCTCACACATTGCGGACGACTGATGGCACTGCTAAAATACCCGCTGGCCATTCTTAAGTATCCCAACTGGCGTTACAGCAAATAGTGAAGCTTTACCGGGTAAAGATGGGTTGCGAAAAACACACAATTGCAACCGCAGTGCAAATACAAGTGGCACAACTGAAAGAGTGCGACGCGGCGGCCCAAAGTGGCAATGCAATGGATATATAGCACGCGGCCGTGCCAACATATTGTACGAACCATAGAGCGATACACAGAAAAAATGCAAGGGATGCAATAAAAGTGCGCCATGAGACCACCAAGCCACCGAGGTAAGGACATAGCGGCAAACGAGGCGGCGCAGTTATAGTATCTGTATGCATGTCACGCGACTGCCAGAGGCGGCTCAACATACTGGCGGATATGTGCAGAGCGCGGTGAGGAGGCAAGGTGCAGCGTGCTTATTATAAATTGCATTGGTTTTTACGGGCGCGCGCGCGCTCTTACATATTTTCCGGGTTTGGCGATGACGTGACGGGTTCGCGACGGCTACGGCTACGGCGACGGCGAACGAAAACGAAGAAAACAGAAAACTTGCTGTGAACGAGTAAATAGTAAAAGTTTTGCTAACGCTAACTGAACTGGCACGCTAGCGGGCAAAACTGGAATGGCGGCAAATAAATGTACACGAGAGTGCATAGAAATGAAAAACTGAACGAGCCGAGAAAATGCGAAAATGTGAAAATGTGAAGAGACGAAAATGGGTAATACGTTCAAAAAAGGCCACCCAGCTGATGCGCAGCACTTGAGCGGCGGCATGGGCATGGTGCTGGTGTAATAGTTGGCCAACTTGTGCGTTAAGGCGGTGAGAGGAGAGCGACGGCCAACCGCCCAGCGGGCTGAAGTAGTGCGCGCCGCGCTGTTGACGTTGAAAAGGTCTTTATCCTTTTGCCAATTGTGCATTTGTATGCGACGTTGCACTCGAAAATCACCCACACAAACACATACCAGTATGTGTATATCGGTTTGTGGCAACCTCAACGCGTCTGTCTGAGTGCCTGCATTTAGATTTTATTATTATTTTTATACTCCTGCAACATGTTGCTACAGAGTACAGTAGTTTTGTTCACCTAACGGTTCACCTTAAACTAATCGAGTTAGATATAGGGTTATATAAAAAATTTTGAAAAAATGGGCGTGGCCCCGCCTTCTTATAGATTTAATGTACATATCTCCTAAACCGCTAAAGCTATAATAACGAAATTTACACAGGGCAAATATTTTCAGCACCCCTATCGACAGTGTGCAACCGGGTAACCAAGTTTTTATGGTCGCAATTGATCTTGACAACATCTGTTTCCAAAAAGACGGGGCTACGTGCCACACAGTGTGTTTGATAATTTCAAGAATTTCTGACATTGAATGGCTTCAAGAAGTTGTGATTTAAAATCATTAGACTACTTCTTGTGGGGTTATTTGATGATTATATGACATACGACTTGATTTAGTGGAAAAAGTACTCGAAAATTGGGTTCATCGAATTCATTGATGTGAGGTAAAATATGGTTTTACACCTAGCTAAGTCTATGACCTATAATATAATAACTGAAGGTATTTCCCCTTAAATGTTCGGTTCCACCTGAACTTAGCGCTTCCTTACTTGTTTCATTTGGGTTTTGCTTTCACACCAACATTAAGTTTCTCATATTTTCACATTTACTTTTGCTTTTCACATTTTTCTGCAGCGCTATCCAACTATTTTTCATCCCACAAAATTTTCTTTAATTTTCATTTTATTTTCTTTGAACGAGTTGCGGTTGCTGTGGGAGCATGTAGATGGTACAATTTGCCCGCATTTATTTTTCTCATTCATTTCTGCTGTTTGAATTTATTTCTATTTTTTTAGTTTTGCAGTCGAATTTTGTATTTGCGTTTTTGTTGTTGGTTTTTATATTTTTACTGCTTTCATTGCGCTAAAGCGCTGTGAGCGCCCTTCATTCATACATTCACTCCTCCGTTCATTCATTCATTCGACAAAACTTACCTCTTTCAATTCCGGAAATGTCTTTTGCGTAGCCTGAAATTAAATAAGAAGAAAAAAAAAGAATTAGGTAAATTACTGTTTTAGTTGTGCGCTTCGGGAGTTGGGGTCTTGGGCAGATTTCCGCAACACCTCCCGCAATCATTAATTATAAAAAATACCACTATATTATCTAATAGAGAAATGAGAGAAATCGCGCGGGTTGAGGCGGAAATTACTCTTAAATTAATTAAATCTGTGTGGGTAAAGTTTGCAATACACTTGAAATGAATTATGACCCGCCAAGCGGTGGCGTGGACTTAAATAAACTTTTGCAGAGTTGATTTGACTGTACATCTATTATATATACTTAAATATACGAGTATCTATGAGCGCTTGTAGAGGGTTCATTTAACTATGCGGCGCTTTAAAACCTTGCCGAACTTAAAGTTAGACAGTCTACAGAAGCACTTTTCGCTGATAAGGAGTATTAGCGCCGTCTTCAAAATATTTGTCTGTCAATTCTGATTATTCAAAAGGTTAGGTATTTTAAAGATTGAGTATCAACTGAGAATGAGAGCAAAGTATGTATTTGCCTAGCCACTTTGAACAGATGCACATATTTCGCCGTCGTCGAAAGCTCCAGAGTTTCAGAATCATTTTCGAGCTGTTGTTGTTGTAGCGTTTATCCAATCTTTGGTTTGGATCGGCAAGTTTTAGTTTAAGTTTGTCATCACTGGAGCAACAATCAGGGCCCGGGGAAATTTGTCTGCTTTAATCTCGACGTTGTTAAACATTTCTAGGCAGTTTGTTGACCCTGCACTTTGAAAACTTTATTAGTTCCTTACTTACAGAAATCTTCGATATCTACATATACGTATAAATTGTACTTAACAAATCTATAGCAGTGTGAAGAAAAGTTATTACGCAATGAATATATAGCAAAGTCATATTTTTCTTAGTTACTTTAAGCTCAGAAACAGATTTACCGTCAGGCTAATTAACTAATTCTCCGAAAAGTAAAGACCTCTCAATTTGTTTTATACTCCAATTATGCGACTTTTTTATATAATACATCATAATTTCTATTTCAATGCATCATTTCTCTACTCACTGTGATTGATTGAATTCTGCTCTCTTGTCAAAACAACTTACAAATAAAAGCAACAACATACATACATAGTCAGAATTAAATTCAATACTCTCATTGTATGTTATTCATTTTTAGCCTTTCGATGAGCTTAAGTCTTTCTATGCCTTCGAAGTTCTCGACCGCATGTAAATTCATTAGTAATGTCAATAAAGATGAGGAAACCCTTTTTCATTTCAGAATTAAGGAGAATTCAAGATATTTCTGCTTCTTTTCGTGACCGTCAACAAAACATGAATCTACTGCTACATATCAAAGACCAATGAACAGTCGAAACAGTGGACTTCAGTGGTCAACGAACTTCGAAGAAGGCGAAAACTGCCCTATTGGCCGCAACGATGAGGTCCACCGTTTTCTGGGATTCACAAGGTTATATACATACATCGACTACATGGAAAAGAAGACAATGGTTACAGGTATACATACTATACCGAACTATTGGGCTTATTCGACGCCGAATCGCAGAAACACCCAGCGATTTGAACCATGAACTGTTGCCACATTTAATATATACTCCGGATTTGGAACATGCTATTTTTTTTTTGTATCTTAACTTGAAAATGGCAACTTTTCAGATAAGTATGGTAAAAGAAGTTGGGGCAACTCTGGGTCAAATGTATCAAATTGAAAAGAGAGTCATAAATCGCCACTTTTCGCAGCATTTTTTTTTTTTTTAATTGATAATATTGTGCAAATAAACAGCGATGCTTCAGAGAAAAGTTTGCGGGGAAACCAAGTAAAAGTTAATAACGTATATGAGGTAAGAATAAGTGAAGAAGTGGCGCAGAGTGACTACTCCAAAATTAATTCCTATGTTTAAGAACATTGTTCTCACTCGTCTATCACCCTTCCAGTTCACTGGAAGTTGTTCTATATTTTTGCAGTTATAGCTTCAACTGTGGCGATAATTATCAAGTTACAAGCTTCGGATTATAATCATACGCACATGTTTTCTTATATCAACTCATATTCTCAGAAATCGCTACAGACGTACAGCCCACCTGATAAACTGTGAAAGCAAATAGCTCAGTGGAAATTTCCATACCTGTTTTGTTTTCTAGCTGACTCGAGCAGCAGCAAGCAAATCACGCATATCAACTGCAGCGATAAGTGTGTAAAAACTACTCATATTGCGGGAAAAGCAGTGAAAATGCAAAATCAAAGAAGACAAAGCCAACTATAACTGGTCGACGGAGCTGCAATGTATACGCTTGGCTTACACCATAATTGTTTTGATTTGCTTTGACTACTCTTCTAATCACGTCTCACTGATATTGTTGTGTTCTTTTTTTTTTGTTTTCTTGTTGTTGCTGTTGCTATACTGTGGTTGCTATTCGAGCAACTTGCTATCTATTACAGTTTTTCCTTTCATACTGTCCACCTGCCAGTCAGTCAGTCAGTCAGCCAACTGACTACTACCAGCGCTACAACCTCCTCTGCGCCGTCTCGTTCCCACCATAGGCTCAGCGCTGCCAACGTTTAAGCCTGCTGCGCATTTATGCATTCACTGACGTTTTCAATTCGTTTGATTTTCATGCTTCAATCCATCCCTCGAAGTGTTTTGCACTCCAAGCTATTTGTTTGCCTTAACGGTGCGGCTTGCAGCACATAAACAGTTGCTAAATTAATTTTTCACTTCCGTTTTGCATATATGCAATGTGCAACGGCATTGTGGCAGGTTGCAGGTGAGGTTGATATACATATGTACGCAAGTATATACATATGTATACATATATGGAAGTATGTAGATGATTGCATATGCATAAGTTGCTTGCCTCCCTGGCAGTCGCGCTTGGCCGCATATACTCGTATGTATAACATACACACATACACTCTTACACACTTGCAAAACAACAAGCCTGTGTAATCATATGTAAATAGGAAAATCCATTTATTTGTAACGAGCAAAAAACTTGCGCAAAATGTTTGCAACTGCAACATCTAACGGCGCTTCAGAGCGCCCTAAACACATTTGCATACATTCATTTTTCATTAAACGATCTGCCAAACGTACACATTACTATTCAAATGACTTTGAAGTGATTTTCCGGTATCACATTAGCTTTCTTATATTGCTTTTGTTATTGTTGTTTTTTGTTTTCATGCCGCTTTGCTTCGCTGCACTAAATGTCTGACACTCTGCTATATGGGTGATTCACTGAAATTTGCGCTCATTAAATCTAAAGTGTCTGCTGTCTAAGCAAATTTGATAAGCCAACCGACGACACAACACGTTCGGATGTGAGAGACGTTGCAATGTGACTTATGTAGTTGTTGGTTTCGTATGCCAACATTTTCAAAAATCTGTTTGGTTTTATTATGTATTTTTTTTTTATTACGATTCATAATTAATATTTACGAGTAATAAGTTATAATAATATGTACATTAGGGTGGACCAAAAAAACATGTTTTTTTTTTAAACCTTAAGTTCCATGAAAATATCATCCGATATGACGACAAAACAAAAACGTAAACTTCGGTTGTACCGAAGCTATAATACCCTACACAATTACCATAGATTCCATAAAAGAACTTTATTTTGATCGATCAGTTTGTATGGTAGCTATATGCTATAATAGTCCGATTTGAACAATTTTTTCAGAGGTTGTACCTTTGTGAATTGAATATGCCAAATTTCGTGAAGATATATTGTCAAGTGAATAAGTTGTCTATACAAAAACAAAAACAAGTTGGCAGCTTCTTGGGAAAAAATGAACTTGTGCAAAATTTCAGATTAAAAACTCAAAAACTAATGGACTAGTTCGCGTATAAAGACAGACGAACATGGCTTATAAACTTCGTGGCAAACTTAATATAGCCTGGTATACAAATTCTGCTAAAATTTGAGATCTACAAAAAATGTTCATGATGATTTTTTGCTAAGTCGACTCGACTAAGTTATTAGAGGTCAAAGTCCAACCTTAAATCGTACAAGTTAAATTTTGCAATTTCACAAAATAATGCCTTATAAGCATTAAGCATCCGAAGAAAATAAGAAACTATTTCTGTGATATTTAATCAAAAATCACAATGCGCTACCTGTTAGTAATAGTATTAAGATCAAAAACTTTACCAAATTTTTTTCGTCAGTTGATGAGATTTAAACGGTATCTAAGAAAAAAAAATTTATGTTTTATTTTAGGCTCACCCTAATATACATATATGTATGTAGATATTTATGCATATTTTATAATTCCCCGATACTGGCATTACTTCTCTGCCAATTCCACATAACCTCATTTTGAGATTGCAATAAGGAACATATAGCGATGAGTCATCATCGAAGTTAATCATTTCATAAGAATTTGTTCGAAAAACTTATAGGTACGTTCGCTCTTCTGTGTGCATGCCAAAGTTATAAAATATCTGCAAAGCACTAACACAATTTCGAATATTTCGTAGAATTTATAGAGGGTTTATTAAAATACCTGAAAACTTCCCGATATTTTTTATGATAATTTAGTTAACCACAAGAATGAAGGATGTTTAAGACTTACCTATGCGCCTATCCTTTGGAGAGAGGTGAGAGTCATATTGTTACCGAAGGCAAGCAAAGGAAATCCCTTTATTCGGAAGTATATAGACAAATAAGTCTAAACTCATTCTTTCTGAACTCAAAACTCAAAAAGATTTTAGATGGCTACATTGGAGACAAACTTCAATCGGCAAACTTATCTAAAGAACAGCACGCCTCTACGAAAGGTTGATCCACTCGAAAACTTTATATGTAGAGAGAGCTCTAGAACATAAGGAATATGCTAGAGGCGTCTTTCTTGACATAAGCGGAGCATTTAATAATGTCTCCAATGGCGCAATCGTTTATAGGTATTCTGAAAGCAGCCTTGATAAAGCCCACCATCAGAACATGGATAAAAGCTCTACTGAGCCGCAGGAAGATTAATGCAG